TCTCTCTCTCTCTCTCTCTCTCTCTCTCTCTCTCTCTCTCTCTCTCTCTCTCTCTCTCTCTCTCTCTCTCTCTCTCTCCCTCTCTCTCTGTCTCTCTTTCTGTGTGTGTGTGTGTGTATATATATATATATAATATGTCCCGTTGTTTAGCCTGTGATGTAGGGGGCGGTGCTTGCATCTAGAATGTGTTATGTTTGTTTTTTGGTAACCTTGTATGCAGCCCGGTTGATTTTGCCCCATTGTTCGTTTTACTTTGGCGAGCTTTTATGTGGGACCAGTCATCAGTTTTTTTTTTATATTTGTTTGGCAACCTTTATGTGGGACCAGTCATCAGTTTTTTTTTTTATCTGTTTGGCATCCTAGTTGGTTGTTTTCGTTGTTCAGCCTATGGGAGCATGAATGGTTTAGGAATAGGAATACCAACATCTTGATGATGAATAAAGTCATATGCTGTATAAAAATATATATTTGGGATTTCTTTTTTTGCAGGCAACAGTGTTTTGATATCCTGGTTGATCTTGTCCCGTTGTTTGCCTGTGAAGTTGGGGGCGATGCTTACATGTGGGACTTGTCATCTAGGATCTTGTTGCCCCCTGCTTTGTTATATTTGGTTGTTCCCTTCCTCTTTTCTTTGCCTCTTTGCCTTTTGGCTGTGTGCAAGTGGGTCGATATGACACACAGGGGTGGCGGGAGCTGCTGCTCAACCACATCCATGTAGACCGCCTTGTACGGAAGAGGTTTTGAGCAGGGGGAGTTGTAAGTAAGAAGATAAAAAATGAATTGATATCTTTTTTGTTTTCTTTTGTTTTTTTTCGTTTTTGCGCTCTGATAGCTTTGTGACGATATATATATGTATATATCGTCAAACTACGAATACTATCTTCCACTCCCCGGGAAGAACGCACGGTCATTATAGCATCAGCTGTATTTGGGGAAACTTCGACTCCAGATACAACGATAATGACCGCTCCCATTCCATTCACCGGGAGATGGTATCCACTTGCAAAAATAATAGGAATATACCAGGAGGAAGAGCGAGGAAGAGGAGGAAGGGGAGGAAGGGGAGGAGGAGGAAGAGGAAGAGGGGGAGGAGAAGGAAAAGGAGAAGAGAAAAAGGAAACTCTCTCTCTCTCTCTCTCTCTCTCTCTCTCTCTCTCTCTCTCTCTCTCTCTCTCTCTCTCTCTCTCTCTCTCTCTCTACTCTGACGCAGGCTGACCTTCATCCATAAGAGAGAAGCTCAACACGGGCTTCCCATTCGGGTTCTAGAATGAATTTAACTAATGCTTGTTTAGCTCAATCCGCCAGATAAAGGAACTGTAGTCTTCGAACTATAATGCCTGTTTAGCTCGATCCGCAAGAACAAGGAATTTAGTCTACTATCTTCGACCTATAATGCCTGTTCCTGCTCTTCTCCTCGTTGCTGTTTCCCCCGATCTTATCATTGTCAGGTCGCCGCTGCCTGTTTGCCAATGGTTCAAAGCTGTGCAAGGGTGCGGTCGTGGCCGGTAGTTGCGAGGGGTCGTAGTAGTGTAGGTCTAGTGGTCGTTTGATTAGGTCGTTCAGGTTTGTTGTGGACGGCGACCCGGTTTTCCTTTTTGGGGAAGAATGAATTGTATGGTGATGGGTATAAAATCGGTAGTGAGGGGTCATGACGGGTCATGAAAAGTAGCGACGACTCCGCGAAACTCTTTGCGGTCATTTTTTCGTTCGATCGGTGGAAAATGGGTAGGTAAGGTAGTGAGGGGTCATAAAAGTTGCCACGACTTCGCGGATTCTTTGCGGCAAAAGACAAGAAAAAACAAATGTTTCGACCGGACCAAAAAAATGTCTAGACCGAATCTAGTTGTTTTCTAGCAAATTGTTCTTTTTTTTTTGCACGTTTCGAAAGCCTGTGCGACGAGGCCCTAAGTTAGAGTTAGGGCACGTTCACACTGCGGTAGCAAATCCGTATAAATAAAAATTGCGAAAATGGGTTGGGCCGAATTGGGTATTTGGGACGTTTCAGGTCACACTGCGTTCACACCTCGTTCCCATTTCGCTAAAGACACTGTCGCTAGCGTGCCATCAGGGTGCTGCTGTTTGGGGTTACCAGTCACAACCTCGCATAATCATCCGTGCAGCCCCCGAAGCTATAATCTCAGATGCCCTGGCTGCGCCCCCGCGCCCCGCGCGGTTCCAGTTCAATGTTGGCTTGCCATTCCTTGGGTTCATTTTTTTTCCTCTTTTCTTCCTTGTTCGTTTTGTTCTTGTTCTTTGGAGGTGTTCTGAAGCAATGGATTCTGGACTGGATTCGAACTTTGGTCTGTAACCGAAGACCCTGTACCTCAGCACGTATAGCAATGTGAAATCTTGAAATACTGACCCATGTTCAAATCTAGATAATGCAAAAACTCATGACTGGCCTGCTATAAAACAACACATTACAACACTCAAAACTTCATCCCGGCTACAACCCCTCTGCCCTGGCTAGTCATATCAGCTCAATCCCTACAAAACATACCAGTCATATCAGCTGAATCAGGTTGGCCACTGTAGAAAGTAGCCCGGTTGAATGAAATGCAACGTTGGCTTAAAAAAAAAAAAAAAAAAAAAAAGTTGCCCGGTTGGAAAACGCATTCAGATCTGCACCTGGAAGTTGCAAACTGGTACTGCTGACTGGGGGCCAAGTCCCACAAGGAGTATTGAGTTTGATCAATTCCCGAATCTGGACGGGTTTGTGGAGATGTGCGTTTTTTTCGGAACTCGACGCGCTTTTCTGAACCTATCCACAAGCACATCCACATTCGGTCGTTGAACGCTGCTACTACCGGTAGCAGTGGGATTTTTTTTGTTTTTTTGGGCCCGGGCCTTGCCCTTGGACTTCGAACTCGGTTGGTTTTGCAGCTCTGTTTCCCCCCCTCGAAACACGAAATTGCTACGTTGGGGATTCGCTGCTAACGCCTGATTTGTTGATTTGATTATTGCAATCAGGAGCTGATTTGATTATTGCAATTAGTTAGCAACTGGGCCGAGGTCCCACTAGCAAAAAGGATAGGGTCGAGCTCCTGAATCTGGATGTGTTTTAAGCACAGATGCAGAAAAGCTGTTCAATCTCGATTTCCTGCACATCTCCATAAACTCGTCCAGATTCGGGCATTCGGTCCGAGCCTCTTTGCTACGGGACCTCGCCCCTGCAAAAAGTGCGCGAACCAAACATACAGAAAATAGAGAAAAAAAGAAGAAGACCGGAAAAAAAACAAAAAACAACTTGTCGCGGGCTTTGGCAATTTTTTTTTTTTTTTTTTTTTTTTCCGGGAGGCCTCGGCAAGCTGTGGAATGGGGCGAAAAATAGAAAAAAATAGAAATAGAAAAAACAAACAAACAAACAAACAAACTGGAAGGGGTGAAACGCGTTGGGGGGGTGCCACCGAAAGGAAAAAGGGGTGTTTGTGCGGCAGAAGGGTTGTGCGGCGGCAGAGATGGGCGCCACCAAACGACAAGACGTGTCCGACGGCGGCGGCGGTTTGAGCGACAGGGTTTGCCAAGCGGGCGGGGGACGGGGGAATGGAGGGGAAAGGAGGGGGGGGAGGAAAGGAGGGGGGAAGTGAAGAATGAGCGCGGGGGAGCGTTAGCATTTGTGAGGATTTGCCGCGGGTTATCAATTCCCCTCCCTCGCGCAACTTCCGAATCTCACAGGGACTCCGACGTGTCGCGCTCTATCCTTCCCCCCAATACGCCCCGCCTGTGCCTGCGGACGCTCGGCTCCCCGCCCGCTCGTCCGCCCGTCGGGATCAAGCGGCTGGAGATCAGGGCGGCAAATAGCGATGGCGGACCAGAAGGGAAGCAAGGCGCCAGGTAAGAAAGACTATGGCCGTAGACGCGCCATTACAGGAGCCACCAAATTTTGTAAAAGGAGAATGAATCTGCCGCTAGAACAGGGAAAGATGCACCGTCGTAGCTTTTTTGTCGTTTGTGCATGTGGGGTGAGTAGTGTAGCGAGGCGCTATGAGTGAGGAGGCAATAGTTTAGTCGACACGTGTGCTCCCCATTGTTCGCCACGTGTCATATCCTCTATCTCTATTTAGTCAACACGTGTGCATATCCTCTTATCTTTTTTTTTTTTTTTTTTTTTTTTTTTTTTTTTAAAGGGTTTCCTCTCTCTCTTCTCCGCTGCTTTTCTTTTCACTAATCCCTAATTTGCACCAATGCATGCGCCGGCGGCGGCGGCGGCGGCGGTCGTGTGACCGCTTGCCCTGTCAATCAATGGGGTAAAGATCTATGCAAACCTACTGTCAAAAAATTGATTGCGGGCATTGCAGCGAGGTCCTGCAATTGGAAACGAGAACTGATTGCAATCAAGAGCCGATAATTATGAACAACACTGCGAGAAGTACAGGAATGTGATTTTCTAATCATGGAAAAAAAACATCATACCTAGCAGTAACATATCACACACACACACACACACAGAGAGAGAGAGAGAGAGAGAGAGAGAGAGAGAGAGAGAGAGAGAGAGAGAGAGAGAGAGAGAGAGGTCGCCGGTGGTAATGTAATGCCAGCGACGTTGATGAGCTGGCGTTTGCTATCCCAGTGGTGTCGTCTGCCAATTGCTGAGGCGAGAATGGAGGGAAAGGAGAAAAGCAAGGTGCATTGTATTTTACTAGAAGGACGTTGATAATCAGGGACACGTCTTTTTTCGATTCCTCTTTTTCTGGCATTTGTGGATACATTCATGCATTCATTCATTCATTCATGGATGTTTAATTTTTAATGGATGTTGGTTCCGTTGTCGTCATAAGTGATGCGGTGTGAGCAGTGCCAGAGTTCTTTTCTCTTCGTTTGCTTTCGGCGACGATTATAGCCCTCGCCGCACCACTCACCGAATACGAAAACGACAAAATATGTCGTATGTATCTGTCCACATTCTTGCGCGAGATGCATTCAGACCTCGCCCTATGATGGGTGGCGGTGGTGTTTGACCGCCGGGAAGTGGGAAGTATAAAAGCTTTTTTTTTTTTTTTTTTTTTTTTCGGTAATAACGAACGACACGTCTTCTGTGTGTGTAGAGCCTTCTTAGTAATCCCCCCGTCCGTCTTTAATATTAGCCATATAAATTTTCTGTGGCTGTATTAGTGATTAGTGAAAACAGTGTCCATAGACTGCTTCTCGTACACGCACCAACAGATTTACATTTCTTCTCCGCATGTGGCTATATTAGTGATTATAAATTTCTGTGGCTGGTACCAGTATAGTGGCAGCACAAACCTGTTTACATCATCTCTTCTGTCAAGTTATTATTTTTTACTTGTTGTGGGTAATCTATTCTCGTTGGTTGTGGATGAGGATAATCAATTTTCGATAGTGTATATGTGACGATATATATATTATGTCTATAAATGTACGTATATATCTATATATATATATCGTCAAAACAAAGCTGCCCGGTGAACCGTAGGCAGAGAGGGAGAAGAGGACAACAAACGAGAGGTTGTGTATATAGCCTCCTGATGAGTAGGTAGGTGAAACTCCGACGAAACAGTTTGTCACAGCCCCTCCCTCGTTTGTTGTCCTCTTCTCCCTTCTCCCTCTCTGCCTACGGCTTACCGTAGGCAGCTCTGTTTGACGATATATAGGTATGTATGACACACGGGGGTGGGGGCAGCCGCCGCTCAACCTACATCCACGTGGGCTGCCTTGTACGCAAGAGGTTCTGAACAGGGGGAGTTGTAAGGAAGAAGATAAGAAAACGAATTCATTTTGTCTTCTTTTTTCGCTTTTGCGCTCTGATATTCATGTGACAACGTATATATATCGTCACAAACAGAACTGCCCGGTAAACCGTAGGCAGAGAGAGAGAAGAGGACAACAAACGAGGGGTATGTATATATATATATATCGTAAGACAGAGCTCCCCAGTAAACCGTAGGCAGAGAGGGAGAAAATATAATTGGGGGCAGCCGCCGCTCAACCTACATCCACGTGGGCGGCCTTGTACGCAAGAGGTTCTCAACAGGGGGGAGTTGTAAGTAAGAAGATAAGAAATGAATTGATTTTTTCTTGTTTTTTTTTTTTTTCGCTTGTGCGCTCTGATATCTTTGTGACGATATATTATGTATACTATTGTATATATTATATATTATATATAAATAACATCGTGTTTCGTAGGAGTTTCACCGACTCATCAGGAGGATGAACCCTATATATATACACCTTCTTTTCCTTTCCTTGTTTTGCCTTTTTCCGCCTTTGCGCTCCGATTCACAGTGTGACGATATATGTATACATATGAAAAAGACGTACATGTATGTTTTATATCCCTTTTTGTTGTTCTTTTTTTTTTAATCCTTTTTTGTTCAATGTCATGTTTCACCGACTCATCAGGAAATCCAATGGAATATTTTTTTGTTAATCCTTTTTTGTTCAATGTACATGCTCTGTCGAAGGTGGAAATGTGTAATCAATTATTGTTGAGTGCATAGTGCATAATCAATCTTCGGCTTCTTTATTTTATTATTTTATGTCATAGTAATGAAAATCATTTCCTTCTGTAGTGGGCAATTAAAAAATTCGGAAGAAGAAAAAAATAAAAATAACAAATCGGAAGTGCGAAATTAGTAATTTAAAGGATAATCAATATCTTGTGCAGGGTTGGATCAATGGGGCTTCTTCGCTCCGGTGCTCCATTCTAGAAGTGTATTTGGAGCTGGTAATGGACCAGATACATTCTGGATGTTGGATCGGTCCGAACGTATCTGGCCCGGATTACAATCACGATACATGTGAATTGTCAAGTGATGGAGTGGAGGCCTAATCTCTTTCCCCCGTCTTTCCAGATACATGTGTCCTAACGTTTTTGTCGTTGAACGAAACGCGATGACGACATGTTTTTTTTTTTTCGTAAAAATATTATTAAAAAGTGTAGTCTGACCAGAGCCTCGAGAGTACTCGAAAACTTATGATGATTGGTGTAGTAGTAGTGCATTATGTGAAATGATAAAGAAAAGAATAAAACGAATTGTGGGAAATGTACATGAAGTGATTTCAATGTACAAAGGACAGCTTTGTGGAAAGAGGGGGAAGAAGTCATTGGAGCCGAACGAAACACAGGATGAAAGGAAATGACATGAAAAAATTAACGTGAGCTAAAAAAAGAAAAAGAAAAAGAAAATTGTACGTAGATTGAGCGAGCAAAGAAATGCGGTAGGGATTCACTCGCTCAATCTACGTGTTTTTTGTTTCATTTAAACTCAATAGGGATTAAAAAAAAAAAAAAAAAAACACGTGAGACGAGGATTGAAAAAATTTGAACTGGATTAGGAGATGATGCAATCGTAGGGAGCCGTGTATCTGTCCATGTTCTAGCAGAAGATTCTGAAATAGGAATTATAAGAATGGGAGTTTCTCTTTTTTTTTTTTTTTTTTTTTTTTTTTTTTTTTTTTTTTGAAGAATGGGAGTTTCTGTAATTAGCCAGAGAGCGAATAGGAAGAAGAGAGAGGAGTTTTTCTTCACACGCGAATAGAACCCATGGTCATCATAGTCGTGTTTGGGCCAACCTTTTTTTTTTTTTTTTTTCCTTTCGAAAATTGTTTTTGGACCTTGTTTTTTCTCGATTGATGCGTGTCATCATCCTTGCGTAGGGGTCATGATTATATCTTTTTTCTCTGTATCGTTCCAGTTTTAATGGAGGGGTGTCCCCGAAGGACCGATTTTTTTTTTTTTTTTGGGTTTTGATAATGGGCCTCGCTGCACTACTCTCGACATGCACGAAAGACAAAAATATTGGCGGTGTATCTTTCCATATTCTAGCGGAAGATTTACTCTCGTTTTGCATATGTCGAGAGTAGTGCGGCGAGGCCCAATGTCTTGATTTTTGTAGTGACCGTGTGTTCTATTTGGGTGAAAAATCTGTTATTGGAAATGAATTGTTCGGTTTTGGTTTATATATGGAGCCAAAGACCGTAGGCAGAGAGGGAGAAGGGAGAAGAGGACAACAAACGAGGGAGGGGCTGTGATAAACTCTTTCGTCGGAGTTTCACCGACTCTATATATATATGGGATGTGTTATTTGCTTTGTGACAATTGGATTATCTTTCTTTCCCTGTCAGGTTTGGTTTCCTCCTTTTCTTTACCTCTCTTTGCCTTTTGGCTGCGTGCAAGTGGGTCCTTGTGACACACGGGGATGGGGGCAGCCAGCGCTCAACCTGTCATCCACGTGGCTGGCCTTGTACGTAGGAGGTGATGAACAGGTGGGGCTTTCCTTCCTTACTTTGTTTCTTTCCCTTCCTTGTTTTGCTTTTCTCCGCCTTCGCGCTCTGATTTAGTGTGACAATATATACGATATATATATATATATACACAGCCCCTCGTTTGTCACAGCCCCTCGTTTGTTGTCCTCTTCTCTCTCTCTGCCTACGGTTTACCGGGCAGTTCTATTTGTGACGATGTATATACACAGCCCCTCGTTTGTTGTCCTCTTCTCTCTCTCTGCCTACGGTTTACCGGGCAGTTCTGTTTGTGACGATATATATATATATATCGTCACAAACAGAACTGCCCGGTAAACCGTAGGCAGAGAGAGAGAAGACAACAAACGAGGGTATATATATATGTACAATATATGTATATATATATATATATAAAAGTTGGGGGCGGTGCTTACATGTGGGGCTTGTCATCCAGGAGTTGCCCCCTGTTTTGTTTTATTTGGCTGTTTCCTTCCTCTTTTCTTCTCCTCTTTGCCGTCTGGCTGTGTGCAAGTGGGTCCATATGACACACGGGCGTGGGGGCAGCCGCCGCTCAAGCACAATCACGTGGGCGGCCTTGTACACAAGAGGTTCTGAACAGGGGGGTTTAT